GCAGAAAGGCATATTAGCAGGGAATGAAGTTAGCAGAAGAATCAAAAAGGGAGGTAAGGGATGGGGACTGGAAAAATTAGGAAATTTGTGAATTTATTGTAGCGGGAAGAGATGTTTTGGTCCGTTAACTTTCTTGGCTCGTTTCCAAATGAGTTCAGGAGCAACGCTGGACCGAGTGGGTATGAATTCGGTGGTAAAAGGGCAAGTTATCGGATTCGTGGGCAGCTGAGCCTGCAACGCGTATAAAATGCTTCACAAGAAGACAAAGGATAACAAAAAGACGACGAAATGTTGAATGATTATTGCGACAGGTACAGCAGTATAAGGGAATATTTGGGAAATTTGGTTAAATAGCGGGAGAGGGGGAGGGGGTGAAGGAGGGATAAATCTAGCTGGAGGAGGGGGGGGGGGTAGATCGAACTTCTGCACTGATGGGAACATTTTGAGTTGCACTGGTAAAAATGTAAAAATTTTTTTGGAGCTTTGTAACTATTACAGCGTGCTACAGGATGCGCTGCATACAGTAAATCCCAGAGAAACAGCAGGACATGACAAAATTTATGCGGGAAGAAATGCAAGCAAGAGGCAAAAAGAGGGCAAAAGATTGAATTACCAAATAATATTACGCTAGCCAGATTTGAGTCATTTAAAGAAGTTTTCAGTTTTCACTTCCTTTTCAGTTTTCATCCAGTTTTTAGTCATTTCATGTCAGTTTTCATTCAAAAGTTGCTAACTCTGGAGCCAGAAAGCTGAAATTTTTAAGGGAATGTTCCCCAAAGATCGTACACGGAGTGCAAAAGAAGTCATCAAATAATCTTACGCTAGTCAGCTCTAAGCCATCTAAAGCAAATTTATGATTTAAAAAAACTTGCTACGCTCACTTTCTGGTAGGTGTGATGAGCGATACGTTTTATTCGTCCTCGTCCTTCGCCATATCCGACAACTGAATTACCTAGTAGCCTTTGGCAGTCCGGATCTGATCTGATCAGGGACATTGCTTTGCTAAAAACTGCTTGCGGTCCAGCCGGTGAAAATACTTCTTCGTATAACAAATAACTCATACCAGCCATTACAACCACCGATACCAAGTATGCCGAATAGAGATATGCATTGGTCGCTTTCTCCTTCACTGTAATTTTAGTTTACTGAAGCAATCGAGGCTGCTTCTGTGATAACTGCATCAGATGAAAATATGTGTGAGGTCCTCTCCAGTGGGAGCCAGGGAACCCACTGCTAAAATCAAAGCTTCCTTGGTTACCGAATTGAAATACTCGGACAGACGCATACACGCACACGTACACACGTACACACACACACACACACAAACATGCACACATACATACAGACATTCACAGGCCGTAGGTCGCCACAATACGGGGTTTTTGCATTTGCATATATGCAAAAATACATAAAAAACCAACAAGCTAGAGATTATGACAGACTAATTCGCTATCTCCTTTGAAGTAAAACCCCTGGAAATCAGCCTTTGAGGACAACTTTACCCCGATCTGCCATCAGTCTGAAAATGCTATAAGATAAAATCAGAAGTTGGAAACCGTGCTAGGTTAATTCAAAATTTCCAGCTTGTGAATTTATAATACGATGCA